TGGTACCGAATCGAATGATTCGTTCCCCGGGTCGATCTCACGAGCAAGGCGGTTCGGAATTTAGCTTTGACGTTGATAACACATAAAAGGTAAATAAATCCTAAACACTATAATCAAATATGGGGTTTGAATAATAATCAACTAAGAAATAATAAAAAGCAATAATCTACCTAAGAAGATAAACGAAACAAAGATGGAGAAGCTAGGGAATCGGGGACAATTAATTCGAGTTCTAGCAAAACCGGGCAATTCATTGTTCGGTTCGAGATTGACACTCTCGCTTAGACATCTAGCGGTTCGCTCACAATAACTCTTGGTAACAAGGGATTGAACATAGACGAAAAAGTTCGAGCATACAACACAGGCCAATTATCCCTATCCCAATAACTTTTCGTAACAAGGGACGGGTCATCGACAAGTGTGTATTTCAATCTAAAACATACAAATTATTCAATTACGAAATCATCTACCTCATGTGAGCCTAGGTCTACGACTTCTCACCTTTCGGTTCTGAAAGTCGCTAATTTAACTAGAAGGTGTTTAATCAACTAATCATATGAAATTGACAAATCCTAACTTGACAGATTAACATTCAATAGTTCTCAATCACAAGATCGAAGTGTCACCCTTCGATTATATCAATCAATCAAGCACAAATTCATCAATTCCTAATCAATTCAACCCACACAAGAATGAACAATTCAAGCCCGAGAGATACGAATTAAACAAGAATAATCATCCCTTATCCCTAGCAATAAGAATTAGCTACATACAATCAATCCAACACAATTAATCGTTTCTCTAAATTCAACCATTTCCATGGATTAAACAAGAAGAAAAACTTACAGTTAATCTCAATCCAAGTGTTGAATCCACAATACAAGCTTAATCTCTAAAATGGAAAAGAAAGAAAAAGGAAAGAGAAATGGAGAAGGAAGATGGAGAAGAGGAGAAGAGAAGAAGAAGAAGAAGGGAAGGAGAATATGAAGGAAAGTGAAGGGGGGAGGCGATTTTCGGACCTAGGGTTCCTCCCCCTTCAAGCTGGAAGTGAAAGAATTGAGAAGAAAACGAGTTTTTGGGGTTTTTATACTATTTTCGGACCTGCTGGGGGCCTTAGCGCCGCTAAGGGGGGTTAGCGGCGCTAAGGGATGAAAGTTGCGAGTCTCTGGGGTCGCTAACATGGTCTAGCGCCGCTAGATAAGTGAGCCTTAGCGCCGCTAAGGTGTCTGGGCAGCGCGACTTTGCATTTTTGGCTCGTTTGGGCTCATCCGAACTCGGAATTGAGCTCCGTTTTTTCCTACGCGTCGCTAACGAACTCCTCTTTCTAATGGTGTCAGCCTCCCCAAAAGATTCTCAAAAACCTGTTCTCCCGGGGTCTCCAAACTACACACCAAAAACGAAAAGAGAACAGAAAAAGGCCGGAAAACAAACGGAAAACACCGCAACACTCAAAAGAATGCAAAACACATAATTAATGACAAAAAGATCCTAAAATCACCTAAACGACTCAATACGGGGGAAAAAGAACGGCAAAAAGACAACGAAAAACACAACAAAAATGGGACAAACAGCTGGCGACGTCGAGCGATGCTGATAGCGGCGGACAGGGGCAGCGATCTCGCGAGGAAGATGATTGGTGATGGCATGATAAGAGAGGGATGGAGGGCGACCACATTATGATGGTGATGGACGGATTCAGATGGCCGGTGTTTGAGTGATGATGCGCGATGGAGGGAGCCGAACAAGGAAGCTGCGGGGTTCTGTAGTTTTTTCACGAGATAGAAAAAGGCAATGGGAAAGCTTTCATATGATGAGGGTTTCTGAATTCTGCCAACGCCGACTCGGGGGAGAAAAAGTAATGGGCGGTTTTACAATATTTGGGCCTAGCTTTAGCAAATTGGGCCGACAAATCTTCAAAATAACAGTTGGGCCGAGAATAAAATAGCTAACTAAATGCTGGAAATACTTACTAAGAGGGCCGATTAAAACTAAGGTTTATGGCCGGATATAAAATACTAACGGGCTAAAAATAAAATCTCAAGGTTCGTGGTTTGGGTCGAAAGGGCTCGGTAACGAGTAAACACAGATAAAGGTTCGATCGTACGGAAAATAAAATAAAATCGGATAATATATATATATATATATATATATATACATAATACACACATTACTCATTTAATAATAATAATAATAAATATTTAGACTTTTAATTTCAATTAGGCATTCATTTAATACAATAATACAAAATAACAATATTAATAATGCCGAAATATCCGAAAAATCCATTATTCAAACGGATTATATTCGGTTCACGAGATTAAACCGAAATTGACTTACGACGAACGTTTATTAATAAAACGATCGAGTACTCCAACCTTTTATTTAAGTCGACAACGCGACTAATAAAATAAATATAACCTTATAAATAATATTCGATAAATAGAATATTCCGAGAAATTCTATAAATCGAACGGGGCGTTACAATATATCCTTCTTAAAATACTTTTTTCCTCGGAAATGCGAAAAAACACGCAACCTAAGGAAAACGACAGACTCGAACGGAGATTTTCCAATCATGAGATCCGGGTATCCCCTCTGAAACTCGTCTCTGTTCACATGAGTCCTATCGCCCTAAGCTCAACAAGCATGCACTCACATACAGGAACCAATCCGACTCGCCATATGCTCATATGTATACCTTCTTGCTTGGGAGGGTGATCAGTCCTGCCCGAGCTCAAGCGTACATCTTCTTGCAAGGAACCCAGTTCAGCTTGGCCTATACTCATGAGTAGCAATAATTAACTCTGTACCTAACATCACACAAGACCTCAACAGGTCGTTCGGTGTATTGCCAGCGTACTCTGACTACCTCACCAACAAGGTGTACACGTGACGTCAAATTTCAGTCTCGTGCCCAAGTCATACTGGTAACTTGCTCACGATTTTATCACAGACCGAGTGTCTCCCTCAAAGACTATGATACGGTATACAACACACCCCAGATGCTCATACCCACACGATATTGACTCCACGAGTCGAACGCAGCCCTTATGTACAACCATAAGGATTGACCATTAGCAATACGACATTCCCAAATTGCCTACTCGAGAAACTCTCAAATAAAATATAGGGATTCATTGACTACACTCCTCAATACGAAACCATCTATTAAGGATTTACGTACATTTAGTGGGGCCTGGAGCTCTCGGTTCAGGGTTCGGACGAAAGGGGTTCAAAAAGGATGACCAAGTATTTCAGTACGAAACAGTTTCAACAGTTCAGGAAAAACATCGGTGGTTGGCCGTACACAATGGCCTAGGGAGTTCGTGCGTACGGTGATGGCGGCTGCAGTTCACATGCGAATCGACGGCCGGCCGCGCGCAAGCCTCCCGTCTCTCAGCACGGTCGTGCATGCTCGACCACCACTTCGCGTGGCTACACCCAGCCAGAGCCAGCATTCGGTTCATGGTTTCACAAGAAGGTTACAATCTTAGATCACCAAAAGAAATGGTTTAGTCCTTTAATTGGTACCTATTTTAGGTTTAGTCATGTAAGTGACCTACTTTTAGAAAACATCCCGTAAGTGCCAAAAAACCTGAGATTTAGTCCTGTCACCAGCAAAAGCAGGTCACTTTTACTGGCTAGCCTATGTGGAATTTTACCTGATTTTTTTTTTTTTTTTTTTTTTTNTTTTTTTTGTGAGTTGTAATGCTGCATGATAACAAAAAATATGGAGATGAGGGGGTTCGAACCTGGGGTGATGGACCTTGCAAGGGACTTATGAGCCACTTGACCTAAGAATAATCAGTGCTTAATTTCACTTTAAATATACATTTATCAAGAAAGTTTTATCAAAAAACAAAATATATATATCAAATAATTATTAAAACCAATACAAGAAATATATATATTAAATAATTATTAAAACTAATACAAAATATATATATATTAAATAATTATTAAAACTAATACAAAATATATTAAATAATTTTTAAAACAAATACATAATTTATTAAATAGTTATTTAATTTATATTACTTTTAATTATAAAATAATTTAATAATATATTATTTAAATACATGATATATTATTTTTATTAAATAATACATGATATATATTATTAAATTGTTTTATTAGTTATATAAAAATTTACTAATTAAATAAATATATTAAAATAAATTAATAAATATATTCAATAATATAATGTTATTTCTTATTTATTATGTTAATAAATAAATATATTAAATAATATGTTATTAATTGTTTATACTACTTTTAATTATAAAACTAATCCATAAATTTATTTACTAAAAATGTATTTTGAAGTCAGTAAACGAAATGAATAAATATATATAGTATTATATATTTAATCATCTTGTTTAATTAAATTTTTATTATCAGTAATGTTGTTTTATATACTAACTAGTATGGTACCCGTGCGCAGCACGGCGGGGTTATTTCCTCAAACATTTTTTTTAAACTTTATTTTAATTTTTTTTTATAAATTAGTAATTTAATTACAATAGAAAGAGGATAGAGGAATACAAAATAAAACAAAAATCATATATTATTAAACACTTCTCTATACACAACATTATTGTTTTGGTTTTCTTTCAAACCTTCTTCTCCACAAATTAAAATTTTCAGATCCTTTCTGTTAGTAACACGGGAGACAGCGACATATAACTCGCCATGACTAAAAACTAGTTTCTTCAAGAATAAGCCAACATGCGATAATGATTGACCTTGAGTCTTGTTTATAGTCATTGCGTACGAAGCCATAATGGGGAAGTGCCTTCTTTAAAATTTGAATGGTACTCTAACATTAGAAGGAGTTATTGTCATCCAAGGTATCTAAACTTTATCACCTGCATGATCGCCAGTAAGAATTTTACACTCGAGAACATGATTGGAGAGTTTAGTTACAACCAATCGTGTACCATTGCAGAGTCCCATTGAGTGATCCATATTCCGCAACAACATAACTAGAGTTCCGAACTTCAAATCAATTCATGGTTCGGCGTTCCAGAACACTTGATAGTGTTCAAGAACTCAGAAGTATGGAGTTGTGCCACAAAGTCGGTATTGGAGTCGGATTTACACGTACTGTCTGAACTTAAATACGTGCGTCCCTCAGTCAAATTTAACGACGACATGTATTCATTAATAGATTCTACGATATCGAGTGTTGGCGCAAGTATAACTCTATCCTTCAAGTAACTTGGATCGTCGGTTGCATTCTTGAAGATCGGAAACGTGCTTTCAACAATTTTTACAATTGGATCATCAGATGACTCTAGTAATAGATCATCTGGTATGTCTATCAGAGAACATCCATCATTTTTACCCCCCAATGTTCCATCTCCAATGCTCGCTATCCAATCAACAAAAGCAGCCAACTCGTCACGTTCATTCGAATCGCCAATGCTCCGAAGACGCATATTCTTTGTAAGGCTAAGCACAGTACATTCTCCCCAAATGCTAGAAGAGTTAATAGCAGCATTAACAATCTCCTGACGACTCCCCTTTGGAACTACCGGAATGATTTGTAGAAAGTCTCCACCAAACACAACAGTCTTGCCTCCGAACGGTTTATAATGATTTGTCGGGTCGAGGGCTCCCATCACTGCTTTAAAGATGCTTGCACAACTTCAAAATAATGCTTATGCATCGTTGGGTCCTCATCCCATATGATCAATGAAGAGCGAATAATCAACTTGGCAAGGGGGCTAGCCTGATTGATCTCACACGACGAATTTTCATGCACAGAAATAGGAACTTCAAATCGAGAATATTGTGGAGTCTGTCCGCCCGGCAACAGGAGAGATGCGATTCCACTTGATGCAACACAAAGCACAATTCGACCGTGCAATTTTAGCTAAGCAGCTAAAGTCCTCCACAAGTATGTCTTTCCAGTTCCACCATAACCATACACAAAAAAACACGCCACCCCTGCCGGAATTAACAGATGTCATTATTTGGAATAAACACCCTTCGGTTCATCGATCATATGTGTCAGCAATGCATCATGCTCAATAGCTAGAGCCTTACGGTCATAGTTAAGTTCATCCAAAACCAGACTGTTCACACTTTAATTAATACTACCCATATTTAGAAAAGACATAGTAGAATAGTCCTTTATCTCAAACCCAACCTAACTCAACCCAACATAATATTTATTTTATATTTATTTTATATTT